CGGCGTGCGCGCGCTGCTTGGACTCGCGGGCGGCCTTCCGCCGGAGCGCCTCCGTGGGGTCCTCCTGGAGGATCTCGTGGATGGCCCCGGTGACGTCCTCAATGCGCTGGACCCACCCATCTACCTCCGCCTTGGACGGTGCCGTCATCCTCAGGGCTCAATCGCGCTCGTTTTTTTTCCTATATGTCTATAGGTATATTCAGAGAGAGAGGGATGTAGGTGGGGGTATGATTCTTGTCCTTTTAATGTCAAGTCGAGAAATGCAAAAGTCACTGCGCATAAAGGAAAATTATCAAATTGAAGCTCTAAAATAATGAAAATAAATCTCACTCAGCTCGTTATTAGGGATGCATCGTTTGGATGGTTAAGGTTGTTTTATAAGGAAAGGTAATTGAGACTTTACACCTAGCAAAAGAAATACAAAACTCAAACGCGTAAGTCTCGCACAACAGCCTGACCACTCATAATGTGAGTCAATCTCCCCTAAACCTTAGGCGCCCAAAACATTTCCCCTTCGCTTTCTTTTTTTTTCTCTTTTTCCTTCTCATCGACGACGGTAATTATCCTGCAGAACAGCATTCCAACTCGCTTGTCCGCCATCCAAAACTAATTGCGTCGCCTGATCGGGGTAGATACTCGCACGAACCACCTCCGCAAATCGAGCCTCGACGGCATCTGAGTCGATCGCCTGTTGGGACTTCATCGTCAGGCGTTGGCCATTCAGCTCCGCCCCATCATGAGGCTGAGAGTCATTCATTTAAACCACCAAAAGCACACACCCACCGAGATAAATAATTCCAGAATTAGACGGAAGGATCTGGTTTGGAAGATAATGGCGTGGGAAGGCACTAAAGGGTCATAAACCTATAAAGAAGGCCAAAAGGAGGGGAAAAAAGGGAATTGCACTTCCTAGGCAGTGGAATGAAATACGTTTTTTTTTTAATCTACATTTTTACTTTGTTTTTGGGGGAGGAGGAGGAGGGTGGAGGGTAAGTAAACCCATTACATATCAGACGAATGTCTATGCCAACATAGGTATATATATCCATGTATGTAACCAAACATATCACACCCTAAAGAGACAACTATGACACAAAAAAATATACAAAATCTTATTAAAAACAATAAGTTGATATCATTAATCCAAATCGTTAAGATCGAAGTAAATTACATGAAGATCGGACCCAAACTCAAAACTTCTGTGTGGTTCCCCCTTTCGCGCCACTTTTGGGTTCTTGTTGAATTCCAACCTGATTTTAGACACCGCTTTCCAGTTCCGGCGCCTTTCGCGATCTCCTACAATGCAAGCATCTCGTCGTCGATCGCGTCGTTCACGACGTCGCAGCGCTCGCAGCCTTTCCCGGGGATCGAACGACAACACACGCAGCCCTCGTCCACCGAGCAGGCGGCATCGCCGATGTGGGAGGAGCAGGCGGCGCCTCCCAGGGGGGTCCGGCACCAATAAGGATAGCCCGCGTTAGTGCACCGCGCACAGTCAATGGACGCAGAGGCCGCGGTGTAATTCGTGTGAATGAAACCCACACAAAGCCAAAGAACTATCAGAAAGAGAATACCGGATGAGGGTCGCATATTTAATATTAAAAAAAAAGGATCTAAGAATAGTAGATATCCGTCCAACGTGTGCTTTGGGGGGGGGGGAATAGGGATCTAAAATTATTTTAACTTGAAATCGGGAGGGGTGGGAGGGGAGTTAACGATATGGATTCTAGAAAAGATATGTGCAGGACTTCCTACAAGACGTCGCTTGAACATCTTATATTGCACTTGGAAAAAATAAGTGCCATACATATACTTTATTTTGATTCCTTCGTTTTACTAATAATTGTTAGGAAACAATGTACAACGAGTATCAGAATTAATTGCATGCAATCTATGCTATTGATTTCAGGGTGACAGGTCGGGTCCTTTTTATTGATTATTTTATCGTCCTAAACCCTGAATGAAAAGCTCCAAGAGTTAGAAGATAAAGTTTATAAATTTTTGCTTCGCAATCGGTTGCATAATAAGAAATCAAAAAAAAATATCTTCAGTATGGAATTCATTTTGAATCCTCTAATAACTATTCGCACAGTGTATTTATTTATAAAACAACTGGCTAGTGTGGAAGTAAAAAAAAAAGGCAAAAAAATCTTCCCACACAACACATAAGTTGTGGAAAGTTTCAGAAATCTTTTCCTTCTTATGCGAAAAATCTATTTCCAGTGACACTATCTTTCTAATAAAAGTATCAATGACTCTACAGTAAATAAAGCAGTTCAAATATCTGCCCTTCACTACCACTAAGTACAAAATAGTGAATAGAATATTCATATGCCAGCTATGATAAATCAATGCTTTCCAACACCAAATAATTCTGGATAAATAAATAATGCCACTTTTCCCAAGTAATGACGCCAAGACGGGTGAACAACCCAACACGCGCTGTTTAGAACGAGGAACCAACCTAACTAGTAGCGATATAGCAGAAGCATGAACAATGGCAATGAAATGTCCAAATAGAGAGTATAAGGAAACGCAATTCTGGTACTTCCTCCTTTCAATAATTTTTTCTATGCCTCAGCTTCTCTACAGGAATCTATTCCCTTAGTTAAAGTCATTTGATTTGATTCCACTTCCGTGTTCATCTTTAGTACAATGGTATAGCATTTTCATCCTGATAGCGATCGCCGATCCGTGAGGCGGCACTCTGGATGGCCTTGGGTAGTTCACGACCTGCGCTCCTAATCACCTTCTGGGCCTGACAACATTTCCTATTAAACCGTTTGACCGCCTTTATCGATAAGGCATGCATATCACACCTAATCTGCAGGTCATTGATGTTGTGAAGGGTCGCATTGATGAGATCCAGTTCGTACTGAATATCATCCCCGTAGAGCAGCTCAGCAAAGTCCGATTCGTTGTGTTTAAACACGACCTCTCGGATACGGTCGAGGTCCTCGTCAGAAAGGGCCTCAGCCAACCCGATATTATACTTACATAGCGCCGCCGTCGTATTAAATGTGTGGCCATCCATAAAAGAGTAAAACGAGAAAACAGGATCGTTCAGAAGCGAAAGATCAATCACCGAGTGTACTCTGGGTGAATAATCCGCTGTTGTCTGCCTCTGCGAGCCAGAAGTAGAAATTGACTTTGGCGACATGAACTTCGCCGAGTTCAGCCTTAAAGGGGCCGCCACCTCCACCACCGATTCGACTTCCTCCCACGGAATGGAATGTTTGCTCGCCTCCATGGAATGATGGGTGGCCGAGGAAGAGGCCGGGGATGGCATCCGCGCCGGCGCCCTGGCCAAAACCTGATTGGAATGATAGTGATGGCCGTTGGATGTTGTGGGGCCGCGTTCTTGGTGAATTGGGGCAGATTTTGTCGTGCGATCGGGCTCGGAAGGTTTGGGGAGGTCGTCCGTGTGGGATAATGGGCTTCGCCCGGGATACCGCAAACACGGCAATTCCTCTTCCATAGGGGGAGGGTGATGAAAGTCGGTCGGCGGGGGTGGATCCCGTTGTCGAGCCAAGGGTCGTGAGCCGATGCGGTCCTTCTCGATCACGTGCTTCATTCCCTCAAGCCAATCTTTGGTCTCCTCAATCCCGCGAGAGATCTCCGGGCGCCGCAAGACGACTACCTCCGAGGACGACCCGTATCCATTAGGGTTTCCCTGGGCCGCAATGACGGAGTAGGGCTCCCGATGGGAAACCGCCGGCGCGCCGGGGAGGGGACTCCCATGAGACTCCCGCCCCACCATGACCGAATGAGAGCCTCTTGAACCCCGTCTGGATGAATACGGCCCATCGACCGATCGGTGGGTCCATCTCACAACCCCATCATTCTGGATCACCTGCGATCTCAATGCGGGGCTGTGGTGGGAGGCCTCATGGGGGACCTCCATGAGGGTGGAATGCGCACTAGACCTCACCTGGCGCCTCGCACTGGGCCTCTCGCCCCTGCACGACGCCCTTTCCCGTGAAGATTTGCCATGAAGATTGTATTTTCTAGGCCCAGAGCCATACCCATCCTTGTAAGGCGTATTAACACTTTTGTAGGCGAGAATGTATCGTGGTCGGGTTTCGGCCTCATCCTCATAGAAATCCCTGCGCGAGGGCCCTGGAGAAACCCTCCGATGACGGCTATGCGTTCGCGACCGCCGATGGTGGGTAAGCCGTGATGGGCTTCTTCGACCGAGAGAGGAATAACGCCGTGGGGAATGATCGGAACGCGTGGTCGGTCGAATCGCCCCGCGAGGCCTGCGCGATTCATCCGCGCCATCCAATCGATCCCTCGGGGAGCGACGCGATCGTCGGGTGTAGTGGCGGCTATAGTATGAGTACGTCAGGCGTTTTCCCGACGGCTCACGAGAGCTGGAGGAGGACTGGGATCGACGGGAGGGCCGAACCTTCCCACCCCGATGTCCCGATGACGCCGTTTCGCGCTTTTTCGCCGCCGAATCAAGATCGGAAGCGCGGTGTCGGCCCCTCCATGGCGAGCGCTGGCTCCGCTCGGGGTCGGCGAGGTTCTTTCCCTCACGCAGGCTCGCCCCTCGCCGGGGAAACAGGTCGGGGTCGTCGT